GTTCTCTCAGCTCTTTGCCAGCAATATCAGTCCCTGATCTTCTCTTCTCTCTACAAAAAAAAAAAAAAGGATGATAATGGGCCCAAACCAATGAAATTATATGAACTAATATATGTAAAATGTTTAGGGCCAGGTATCAGGTATAGTGGCTGGCCCCTGTGGCCCCTGTAATCCTAGCATTCTGGGAGGCCCAGGAAGGAGAATCACTTGAGCTCAGGAGTTGGAGAATACTGAGCAAGAGTGGGACCTCATCTCTCCTAAAAATAGAAAAACTAGCTGGTTGTGGTATATGTCTGCAGTCCCAGCTACTCAGGAGGCTGAGGCATGAGGATCACTTGAACCCAGGAGTTTGGGTTTGCTGTGAGCTAGACTGATTCCATGGCACTCTAGCCTGGAGCAACACAGTGAGACTCTGTCTCCCCACCCTCCCCCCACCAAAATGTTTAGGACAGTGCCTGCCATATAGAACCCGTCTGATGACTTTACCCCTTCCTCCAAGATAATCCTTATGGCCTACATATCAAATCAGGCCAGGAGAGAAATCTAGACATTGTCATTCCATTCCCTTTTGGTCAGTTTTGTTATTGTTTGTATTTATTTACTTGTTCTTTTTTGGGGAGGGGGGGAGACAGAATCTCAAGCTATCACCCTGGGTAGAGCTATGGATCACAGCTCACAGTAATCTCAAACTCTTTGGGCTTAAGTGATTCTCTTGCCTTAACCTCTCAAATAGCTGGAGCTACAGACGCCCACCACAACGGCTGGCTATTTTTTGGTTGTAGTTGTCATTGTTGTTTGGCAGGCCAGGGCTGGCATAGAACCCGCCAGCTCCATTGTATGTGGCTGGCGCCCTAGCTGCTGAGCTACAGGCACCAAGCCTGGTCAGTTTTTTTAGTATAAAATACTTGAATTCATGGCTCAGCACCTGTGGCTCAAGCGACTAAGGCACCAGCCACATACACCTGAGCTAGTGGGTTTGAATCCAGCCTGGGCCCGCCAAACAATGATGGCCGCAACCAAAAAATAGCTGGGCGTTGTGGCAGGTGCCTGCAGTCCCAGCTACTTGGGAGGCAGAAGCAGGAGAATGGCTTGACCCCAGGAGTTGGAGGTTGCTGTAAGCTGTGATGCCACAGCACTCTACCCAGGGCAACAGCTTGAAGCTCTGTCTCAAAAAAAAAAAAAAAATACCTGAATTCAGCCACTGCTTCTCTGGGGTACACACTTACTGACAGTTACTAGTGGTTCTAAAGCAGGTTTATGCCAGCTTTAGTTGTTACTTATTAACATTATTAAGTATAAACATAAAAAGACTGGGGAGGAAAAAAATCATAAAAATCTAAAAAAGTCTGTGCTCAGACTACTTTGCAAGTACCTCTTTACTTTTTCTTCCTCAAGTTTCATTATTTGGGGCAGCACCTGTGGCTCAAAGGAGTAGGGCACCGGCCCCATATACCAGAGGCGGTGGTTCAGACCCAGCCCCGGCCAAAAAAAAAAAAAAAAAAAAGTTTCATTATTTGCCCCTGTGTCTCTACAAAAATGTTTAGGTTCAAAAAGAGAAAAATGTCATAAAGCATTTCACCTCTCTTTTGCTTCAAGAATTTCTGTGCTATCTCAAAACAACATAACCATCCACTCTTAGTAAATCATCTCATCTAAAGGCACATGACTATAGCTCCCCAGTGGCTCCCACTTGCCTACAGGATAAAGCCCAAACTTCTTATAAAGATAATAAAGCTCTTGTATTAGGGTTCTCCAGAAAGACAGAAGCAATATGATATATATATATTTGTATGAGATAGATCTATTAGAGAAATCGGCTCACACAATTAGGAAGCCGTGAGGTACCAAGGCAGGGTTGTCTTGTAAGCTTCAGACCCTGTGATGCCAGTAGCGTGGCTCTGCTCAAGTCCAAAGGCCTCAGAACCAAGAAACCATGGCGTAACTCACAGTCCAAGGCCAAAGGCTTGAGAAACCAGGTGGCCACTGATGAAAGTCTTGGAGACCAAAGGTCGCAGAGCCTGGCGTTCTGTTGTGCAGGGACAGGCAAGGAAGAACGTGTTCTAGCTCCAGAAGATAGAGCTGCCTTTTTTCTTGTTTTTGTTCTCTCAGAGGGCCCCCAGCCGATTAGGTAGGGGCACACTTATATTCAAGGTGGGTCTTCCCCACCTAATCTACCCAGATTCACACCGTAATCTCCTCCAGGAACACCCTCATGGACACACTCAAAAATAATGCTTTGCTGGGTATTCCAGTCAAGTTGACACTTAAAATTAACCTTCACAGCCCTGTATTTTCTGCCCTTAACCTGACTTTCCTGCTGTCTCCCACAGTAGCCCCCACATCCTGATTGCTAGGCAGCTAGCTGTGCAATCTGGTTCACCTTGTAAGCACGGTTCTCTCAGCTCTTTGCCAGCAATATCAGTCCCTTCTCTTCTCTTCTCTCTACCTGTCTGATTTTCAAGTTACCATCACTATGAAGCCTTTCCTGATTAAGCACCCCATTCTTCAATAGTTTTGGCCAATAGAATTGACTGCTGCGTTCTCTGTGCCCATTACAGTCAGTATGGGTTTCCAGCATGACACTTGTAACACATATTACACTGTTACATGCCTACCTCCCTAGCCTGAAAACTCCCTGAAAGAAAAGATCATGCCTTATTCAGCTTTGTACAATAAGACCGACAGCCTGGTATCACTACCTTGACTTTACCAACCCCCTTCACAAATTCCATGTGTTTTGAATCAACATAAAGAGAATGGTGTCCCTGGCACTGTACAATGCTTGGCCCTAAATTCAGCAGAAGTTTAATACATTTTTGGATAAACTGATAGATGAATAAATGATAAATGAATGCTCAAGTTCAGACCAGCGACAGTAAGTTTCTTTTTTTTTTTTTTAGAGACAGAGTCTCCAGGTATCGCCCTCAGTAGAGTGCTGTAGCATCACAGCTCACAGCAACCTCCAACTCCTGGGCTTAGGCGATTGCCTCAGCCTCCTGAGTAGCTGGGACTACCCTCCTCAGCCTCCTGAGTAGCTGGGACTACCCTCCATAAAGCCCGGCTATTTTTTTTTTTAGACACAGAGTCTCACTTTATCGCCCTTGGTAGAGTGCCGTAACATCACAGCTCAAGCAACCTCCAACTCCTGGGCTTAGGTGATTCTCCTGCCTCAGCCTCCCCGAGTAGCTAGGACCACAGGTGCCCGCCACATCGCCCGGTTATTTTTTCTGTTGTTGAGGTTTGGCCAGGGCTAGGTTTGAACCCACCACCCTCAGTATATGGGGCCAGCGCCCTACCCACTGAGCCACAGGCACTATCCAGTTTCTATTTAAACAATCAACTTGATTAAGGTGACCAAATTCTAACATTGGTAAAGCGGCACACCATTGGGGGAGGCGGGGCCTGACAACAATGCAAACTTTGATAAGCAGTTCTCGATAATCAGTTCTCAACAATGATTTGTTATTATTAAAGTTTAACATTATAAAATTAACAAAAATGATATAAAATGCATATCCTGGTGAAATAGCCACATGGCGGCCGAAAACCGTATATTCCCTTCCTGTTCTCCCATGTTCCCTAGCTTGTCGTGCATTCTTTCCAAAAATCCGGGCTTTTTTAAAACGCTGCAGGACACAGGACAAATTGTTAAAAATCGGTATGTCTGGTCACCTTACTCTGTGGGGGGATGAGAGGGGGGCCCTACTTGTTTGTTCCAGACAGTTTGGCTCCTTCTGAGCTAACTGTCCTTGCCTAGAAGCAAGGGAGGGAGCCAGTCTCCTGATACCTTGCCCAGGAGGGGAGTAGGGAGTTTACATTAGCCTTTTCATTTCCAAATGAAGTTACATTAACCTGTTCATTCTCAA